ATGTAAATTGGCAACCAGTTTTGCACATTCCAACAATAACTAAATTTTAAAAAGTACTTATTTGCTCACAAAGGAATTTGGGATGTCTTAAGCTTGTGAAACACTAAATCAAATTCAATTCTTTATTTCTATTGCTTTTACAGACCACAAAGAGAGATCAAAGGGCAATACTCCAAAGTGTCTATCTACACAGCTGACAGCATAGCAGTTAGGATACAGCAAGAATAAATTAGAAATTATTATCCACTCTTAATTCCCAACAAAATTCTATTCATTGCCTCCTGTTGAAATGCAACATCTTGGCTGAGGCAGAATTATTTTTTTTTCAAAGATTAAGTGTTCCTTTGAAGATATAAGCACTCCAATGAACAAGCAAAGAGAGAAGAGTCTCAGCCAAGCCTAGTCATCACATCACTTAGTGAATATGTGTATTTCACAACAGGATATCAATCATAAGCAGGGATCTTGACAGATTTATTCCATCCTTTACAAGCTAATGTACACCCATGTTTACATTAGCATTTAATGTTATCACAAATCGGCAACTGAATCATGGACTTGCCACTTTCACATAATATGTCAATATGTTGCTCTACTCTCAATGGAGAAACAGCATTTCTCCAAACTTCCTGCCCATGCCCCCATTACATGCTTTTATTTTTAAAACCAATATTGTTTCAACAACATTCTTTACTAGTTTATAAAACGCATAAAGGATTTGAGGAACTTGTACCCTGATAACTTTTTCGCTAGGTTAGCAGCTCTAAAAAGCTGGGTGAAGTTTAAAAAGTGAAAAATTCAAGACATCCTTGAAACAAATTTAGTTAATTTCAGTTGGCTGCTTCAATTAACATCATGACATAAGATTGTTGACTTGCTCGCCGAGCTGGCTTGTTCTCGTTCAGACGTTTCGTCACCACGTTAGGTGACATCATCTGTGGAGCCTCCAATGAAGTGATGTTATTCTACTCTGCTTGGAATTTATACTATCCAGTCCATTATGGTGAGTAGTGTAATTTCCGGTTTTGATCTGTAAGGGTTTGTACATTGGATCCAATTCTATATGTTTGTTGATTGCATTATGGGCGGAGACCCATGCCTCTAGGAAGTCCTGTGCGTGTCTATGTTTGGCCTGGGCTACTATAGTTACCTTGTCCCAGTTGAATTGATGGCCTTCATTGTCTGAGTGTACCAATATTAAGGAGAGTTTGTCGTGCCGTTTTGCTGCTAGTTGATATTCATGTATTCTGATGGCTTGTTTCCTTCCTGTCTGCCTGATGTAATGTTTGTGGCAGTCGTTGCGTGGTATTTTGTAAACCATGTTGGTTCTGCATGTTGTGGGAATGGGGTCTTTAATCCTTGTAAGTGTTTGTCATAGAGTGACTGTGGGCTTGTGGGCTTGTGGGCTACCATGATTCCTAGTGGTCTTCGGGGTCTTGTTGTCAATTCTGATGTATTCTTGATGTAGGGCAGTGTGGCCAGTGTGTTAGGGCATACTGCGTCCTCCTCTTGTTGTCTGTTTAGTAGGCATCTGTGGATGAAGTTGTGGGGATATTCATTTATAGCAAAAATTTTGTATAGGTGCTCTTCCTGTTTCCTGCGTTCCGGAGTGTTGCAGTGTGTCCTGGCCCGTTTAAATTGTGTCCTAATGCAACTTTGTTTGTGGACATTGGGGAGGTTGCTGTGGAAGTTGAGGATTTGATCAGCATGGTTTGCTTTTCTGTATACTGAGGTTTGGAACTTCCCGTTGGTCATACGCTCAACTTTAACATCAGAAATGGAAGTTGATTGTTGTTTTCTTCTTCCCTTGTGAATTTAATCCCTGCAAATACATCGTTGATGAGGTGGTGGGTCTCTTCTAATTTGTTGCGTTTAATAATAACAAATGTATCATCTACGTACCAGATCCACAGTTTAGGTTGAATGCAGGGAAGGGTAGTGTGTTCTAGTCTTTGCATGACTGCTTCTACAATGAGTCCTGAGATGGGTGACCCCATTGGTGTACCAATGGTGTACCATCAGCTTGTACATTTGACCATTAAAGATGAAGTGTGAGGTGAGGCAAAGGTCTACACCTCCTCTCACCCACCTTCCTGCAAGAATGCAATCCCCTATTCCCAATTCCTCCACCGCATCTGCTCCCAAGATGAGGCGTTCCACTCCCGGACATCCCAGATGTCCTCGTTTTTCAAGGAACGCAGTTTCCCCTCAACAGTGGTTGAAAACGCCCTCAATCGCATCTCTTGCGTTTCCCGCAATAAAAACAAAAACAGAATTCCCCGTGTCCTCACGTATCACCCCACTAACCTCCGGATTCAACGCATCATTTTCTGCCACTTCCGCCACCTTCAATCTGACCCCGCTACGAAGGATATATTTCCCTCCCCACCCTTATCTGCCTTCTGGGGGGACCACTCTCTCCGCGAATCCCTCGTCCGCTCCACACTCCCCACTAGCCCCATCACCCCCGGCACCTTTCCCCGCAACCGCAGGAGGTGCTACACCTGCTGCTACACCTCCCCCCATTACCTTCATCCCAGGCCCCAAAAAAAAAACCTTCCACATTAAACAGATGTTCACCCACACATCCGCTAATGTGGTCTATTGTATCCGTTGTTCCTAATGTGGCCTCCTCTACATCGGGGAGACCAAGGGGAGGCTCGAGGACCGCTTTGTAGAGCACCTACGCTCGGTTCGTGACAAACGACAACATCCTCCCAGTCGCGAACCACTTCAACTCCCCCTCCCACTCCCTGGACAACATGTCCATCCTGGGCCTCCTCCAGTGTCACAACGATGCCAGCCGGAAACTGGAGGAACAGCACCTCATATTCTGCCTTGGAAGCCTACAACCCAATGGTCTCAATGTGGACTTTACGAGCTTCAAAATCTCCCCACCCCCGACCTCATACCAAGACCAACCACCACCCCCCCATCTCCGCCTCCTTGACCTGTCCATGTTCTCTCCCACCTATCTGCTCCTCTCACCTCACTGACCAACCCCCACCCCCACTTCCTACCTACACTAACCTTTACTAACTTCATCCTCGCCTCCCTGACCTGTCTGTCTTCTCTCCCACCTATCTGCTTCACTATCCACCTTCTATCACTGTCTCCCCCCTCTCTATTTATTTCAGAGCCCTTCCCCTTCCCCATTTCTGAAGAAGGGTCCAGACCTGAAACGTCAGCCTTCCTGCTCCTCTGATGCTGCCTGGCCTGCTGTGTTCCTCCAGCTCCACATCTTGTTATCTCAGACTCCAGCATCGGCAGTTCCTACTATCTCTGAGGCAGAGGTCCAATAGTTTAAGTATGTTGTCACTGCTGATGGAGCTGCTGGTTGGCATTGCTGCTTCCTCTTGTAACGTGGCCACTGTTTCTTTGGCTAGTGGGATGTCAACTGATATGAATAAAGCTGTGACATCAAAAGATATCATAATCTCATTGATTTTTAAGTTCTTGAGGGTGTCGAGGAAATCTTGGGTTGTGTGGATGGAATGGGGTTATCCATCGACTAGGTGTTTCAATCGCTGTTGTAGGCCAGTTTGTGTGAATAAATTCACAACGGAAGAAGTAAACAACAATCAACTTCCGTTTCTGGATGGTAAAGTTGAACATATGGCCAACAGGGAGTTACAAACCTCAGTATACAGAAAAGCAACCTATACTGATCAAATCCTCAACTTCCACAGCAACAACTCCAACGTCCACAAACAAAGCTGCATTAGGACACTGCAACAGGACATATTGCAACACTCCAGAACTAGACAGGAAAGAGGAAGAGCACCTATACAAAATTCTCGCTATAAACGGAAATCTCGCAACTTCATCCACAGATGTCTACTAAACAGTCAACAACAGGAGGACACAGTACACCCTAACACACTGGCCACACTGCCCTACATCAAGAACACATCAGAATTGACAACAAGACTCCTAGGACCACTAGGAATCATGGTAGCCCACAAGCCCACAGTCACTCTATGACAAACACTTACAAGGATTAAAGACCCCATTCCCACAATATGCAGCACCAACATGGTTTACAAAATACCATGCAACGACTGCCACAAACATTACATCGGACAGATAGGAAGGAAACTAGCCATCAGAATACATGAACATCAACTAGCAGCAAAACGGGACGAACTCTCCTTAATATCGGTAAACTCAAACAATGAAGGCCATCAGTTCAACTGGGACAAGGTAACTATAGTAGCCCAAGCCAAACATAGACACGCACGGGAATTCCTAGAGGCATGGGTCTCCACCCGTAACGCAATCAACAAACATATAGAATTGGACACCATGTACAAACCCTTACAGATCAAAATCGGAAATGACGCTACCCACCATAATGGACCGGACAGTATAAATTCCAAGCGGAATAGAATAACATCGCTTCATTGGAGGCTCCGCTGATGATGTCACCTAGCATGGAGACGAAATGTCTGAACAAGAACGGGCCAGCTTGGCGAGCAAGTCAACAACCTCCCCACAAACTGAGCTACAGATCTTTGCCAAAACTTTGATCATGACATAAATTATCAGGAACTAAACTGTAATTGGCTTAGATCCAAACTCGGGATTTGAAATGGAAAACACTGGAAATATTCACTGAATCCAGCAGGATCTGCTGAGACAGAAAGGGTCATGTTTCAGGTTAAAGGCACTTTTCCATAACTCTGCTGAAAGGCGCTGACTTGTAAAGGTACCTCTGTTATAATTATATGAGACACAATCTGGAACTTTTCATACTCATCATATGGTATCTTTCTCCCTGTCATTAACTGTATGATCTCCTGGTTTACAGAGCAGGTAAGTTGAATCAGAGCCATTAATGTTCCCTTATCATCAGCAAGGGACATATAAAAACTAGAGTTACATGGGAAGCAGGCCATTGAGCTCTGCTCAATGTTAGATACAGATTTATTTGTGTTTGATTGCAAACTTTACAAATCACTAATTATCAATCTTCACCTGAATAAATATACAATACCCACTTCTTGTGAAAACATTCCAGGTACCATTATCTTCAAAATTCTCCAGATCCTTGCAAAGAAAACACTATCCACAACTGCTTTTTCTTTTTTTCCTTCTTTCTGAAAAACAGAGGGTAGAGCTTTCTGTTCCTGAAAAACCATATGAAGCAAAAGAAGTCATTTAAATGAACAACTAAAATTGCAATATATTTTCATGATTTACCCACCTCATTCTGAAGAGAAAGCTTTCCATCATTCTTACTGTAATCAAAAGATTAACATTTAAGATATTACAAAGTAAAGTTCATAAGATTTCTGAATAAATCATGTATGCCAAATAAAGGGCAGATTTATCTTCTTCCAATTTTAACACTATAGAAAATGGAACAGCGCAGCACAGGAACAGACCCTTTGCGCCAACCATGATGCCATTCCAAACCAATCCCACCCATCTGCACATGGCCTGCATCCATCCTTTCCCCACCCAATCATGCGTCCATTCAAATACTTCTTCTGGATAACAAGGACGCCTTTGTCTGAAACCTATTTGTTGACTTTAGCTCCACCTTCAACAGAATAATTCCAAAAAGATTCATCTCCAAACTCCGAGACGTAGGACTCTGCTCCCCTCTTTGCAACTGGATCCTCGAATTCCTGACCAACAGACTGCGATCAGTAAGGATAGGTGACAACACCTTCTCCACAATAATCCTCAACACCAGTGCCCCACAAGGCTGAGTACTCAGCCCCTTACTGTACTCATACTCTGCAACATGGCACCTTCATTTTTATTATTCTTTTCCTTTTAATCATCATTCATCTCATTAATAAACACACTCCATAGCAGGTGAAAGCAATGCCAGATGAGGCATTCCAACTCCATCCAACCCACTTACCACAGGTTCTGAACTCCTAACATTGCATTGCCTTCCTCTGCCTGTCTATCAAGCTTCTCCCTACCATTTTATTACAAACACCACCACCTCCTCTGTTTTCCTTCTAAGTCCCTCACTTCTAACCTTGCTTCTCTTTTTCTTATCCATCATACCAGCACTTGCTACTTATTTTACTACTTCCACATCAGCTTCCATAAGCTTCTTGACCCCCCTCACATCCATAACTTCATACTTGTTTTCTATTCCTTCTGCACTTGATTTCCACTATGCTCTCTTTTCCAACTTCAACTCTCCCTTTTTTCACACTTCTGGCTCTTTAATCTCCCATTTCTCGCCCATCTGTTATCCCTTTCCATTTCTACTTCATACCATTTCCCTTTCATATTAAACTTCACACTTCCACCCAGCTATTCAATTCTTTATGATTACCTACAGAGCTATTTTTTTTTAACCAAAAACCTGAGATTTAGATAAGCTATAAACATACAAGCGCTTTATTTAAAAAAAGGCAAATTTTGAGAGAAAAACACAAAGAAGTGTGGGTGCTGGACATCAGAAGAAAAAAACATCTGGCAGCATCTGTGGAGAGCAAGCAGAGTTAACGTTTCGAATTCAGTGATCTTTCTTCGGGGGTTCTGAAGACCGGCCACAGGGTCCAAAACATTAATTCTGCTGCCTGACCTGCTGAGTTCTTTTTTCAGCAATTTCTGTTTTTGTAGCAAAAATAGAAGACTGAGAGGTTTTATTCAAATGGAAAAATAACTGTCAGAACCCTGAGCTAGTCATTATAATGTATAGGTAATGAGTTAGGCAAAAATCATTAAATGGTAAAACAGAACAATTTTTACAACCAACCCCTGCCCCAAGTTTCCATGGATGCTCAGAACAGAAGATTCTACAATAATCTTAATGTTAAAAAAACTGAGTTGGGGTCTTTATTAAACATGAATTTAAACAAATAAACTTAGAGTCAGTGCAACTTAAAGAAACCAATTCGGGACACAGTATTCATACAAACAGCTGCACCAACAAGTCTTGGAGAACCTAGGGGTTAAATATCTGAAGAATAGTGTATATTGCAGATGTGCATGCAGGTGTGGTGGAAAAATGTAACTAAATTAAAACAGCAAGCAAGTTGACAAATAAAAGGATGCATGTTGAATGCAAAATATTGATTAAATTACTGATGAATCTTCCACAACATCATAAAGAGTTACTGCATCTGGGTTCTCTCTGCCCACCCAACATTTTGTTAGGTCTCAATCAGCTGCTGGAACAGCAAATGGCATTCCTTGTTTCAGGGTCATTTCTGGTGTGTTCCATATTCTAATCATTCACTTCTTTTCTGTCTGCCATTAGACTGTATTCCACATCTTTTGATTCCCTAAACCATGATACTTAGGCACCCCTACAACTAGCATCACTGTGCGTCAACAGTCATCACAATTGTGCTCAATTCTTATTTGCCACATCTCAATAAGGTTACTATCATCTGCTGTCTGAATTGTCAGTTTTGTCCACAATCTTGTTTCACAGTCTCCGCTCTGGAATTTTTGCCTTAAAATTCATATCTCTGTCTAATGAGTTCCTTCTTCACTCCTGATCTCACCATTTTCATTCATTATAGGGTGAATGTCCCACCAACTTTTCATATGGCTTCATCTCACTTATTCACTCAATTTTCAATGCCCACACTACCAAAAAGCTATATTTGATGGATTCAGAAGAAACCTTTGAGAACAGACCAATGGACTTTTGTTGAGCATGCCCACATCCCACCACCGTTGATATCACTTCTGTGGGACTCAGACCTACCATGTCCCTTCAGGTTAGAAACAGGGATCATCTTAATGAAGTTGCAATAAACATTATTATGATTTGAGATTCATCATGATTCATACTGTTGAAACTTGTAGTATCTTTTATATCTAGAATTAGCAAGGAGATTCAAATCAGGCTTTTTTTTTCCTGCGAAGCCATGAAAATATAACTTTCTTACCCCGCTAATATTCCTTCACCTGTGCAAATGGCAAAATAACATTGCAAAATCCAAAATGCATTGCATCTTAAATTTAAACAGCTGCCAAGAAATGAATATGTGAAAGGTTTTTAATATCAATGAGGCCCCTGCATTGTGATAAAAGAAAAAAATGCCATCTTTATTGTTTAATCTCTTGGTCTCTCCTTCTCAGTTAGATTTTGGCCGCCGCGGTCTTGTAGCATTTAAAATTTCCTGCAGACATTTACATTTTTTGTAGTACTTCCTTTCTCTTCACTTATATTTTGACTTCATAAAGTTCATGGTTCTTTGCTTTTCGAAATTATTTTGTTTAAATACTCAAGGATATGTGGGGTTAGTGCAGAAAAGTGGAATAGTATAGGTGGTAGTATATTTTTGGTGGTACAGATTCGAAAGACCTCTTCTGTACTGAATGATTCTATGACTCTACCAATTCTCAAAACGTACATTCTTTCACCTAAAATACTGTGAACTAAATAGAAGTCAATATAACCTACTATTACACAAGTTTAAGAGGTAATAGGAAAGGCAAATTGGATGACAGAATCATTGAATTTTACAGGATAAACGGAGGTATTTGACCCATTGGGTCTGTACTGGCTCCCAAAAGAGTTACCCAGCTAGTCCCATTCTCCGGCCTTATCTCTGCAGCCTTCTAAATTTATCACTTTCAAAAATATATCCAGCTCTCTTTTGAAACCTCACATGGAATTCACCTCCATCACTCTCCCAGGCAATGCATTCCAAATTCTATCAACACTCTGAGTAAAGTAGTTTCTCCTCATGTCACTCCTAGCTCTCTTGCTGACAATCTTGAAATTGTGACTGCTAGTTACTGACATACCAACTAGTGGAAACAAAATATCCTTCTTTACCCCAAAATTGTTTATAATTTTGAACACCCGAATAAGGTTACTTCTTTATATTCTTTGCTTCAAGCACAATAAGCCCAATTTCTCTAATCTTTCCTTGTATTCAAAATCTCTCATTGCTGGTATCAATCTACTTTGCGCTCTCTCCAGGTCTTTAACATGCTTCCTAAAATAAAGGAAATTGAACACAATACCCGCAAATGTGGTCTGACCAATGATTTATAGAGGTGCAGCATTATTTCCTTGCTTTTATACTGTATGCCTCTATTTATAAACTCAAAATCTTATAAGCTGTCTTTACAACTGTTTCAACTTGCCTGGCCACTTTCAGAGAATTATGCACATGAATCCCGAGGTCCCTCTGCTCCTATGCTCCCCTCAAAGTTGTACCATTGTGCCTGTGTCGGCTCATTTGGCCAACTTGTCAATATCCCTCCGAAGTTGCTCAGCATCATCCTCACAACTCACTATTCTCCCTAGCTTAGTATCATGTAAAAATTTAGAGATTTTGCCCTCAATACCCATCTCAAACCACTTATGAATCAGAAAAAGCAAGGGTCCCAATACCGATCCCTAATGAACACCACTTGCAACTTGTCTCCAATCTGAGAAATGCCCATCTGTACCTACCCATCTTTTAGCCAACTTCTAATCCATGCTGCCAATGACCCATCTATCTCAAAGTAGCCTGCCATGTGGTACCGTACAATATGCTTTCAGAAAATTTCCAAACATACAACATCCACAGCCTGTGCCACCTCAAAGAACTCAATCAGATTTGTCAGACATGATCTGCCCTTGACAAAGCCACGTTGACTGTCAAGAATTAACTATCTTTCTCTGGTATATATTAACCTTATTCCACATTAAGGCCTCCATCATTTTCCTTCTATTAACATTAAGCTGACAGGTCTGTAGGTTTCTGGGTTGTCCTCTGTCCCTTTCTCAAACAACAGTGTCACGTTTGCAATCCTCCAATTCCCTGGGACTAATCCTGTGTTCAGACAGGCCTGGAAAATTTCTGTCAAATGCTCTGCAGTTTGCTCCTTTACCTCTCTTAGTTATCTAAGATGCATCCCATCTGGGCCTGGTGACTTCTCTACCTGGAGTGCTGCCAGCCTTTTTGAAAAAAAAATCTTTACGTATCAATATACTGTTCAGTTGCTCAGCACCCACATTTTCAACTAGGTAACTCTCACCATTTTCTAATTTGGTAAAGACAGAAGCAAAGTACTAATTTAGTACCTCTGCCGTAATCTTTGCTTGAGTGAGCAGCTTACCCTGACAATTCTTTGCAGGCCCCACTCTATTCTTCACTAATCTTTTACAATGAATATGGTTAAAGAACATTTTACTCTTTGCTTCAGTGCAGCCTACCATCCTTTCCTCATACTTCCTCTGAGCCTTTCTTATTCCAGCCTTAGACTCTCTCGTGCATTTGAGATACTCTTCCTGATTTCTATTACTATTATT